GAGGGTGATGGCTGACCCAGGTCATTGCAGCTTCTCTTGTTCGCTGGATTATATGGCCAAAAGCCAGCTGCGCTGAATGAGACTGCATACCAAATTTTTTGTCCTGCAAGACCTCATTAGGACTACAAGGACAGCCAAGTGTGAGCTTACTTTGATAGGCTAGAATCCAGGTATGTCTGGGCCAATCAAAGGCTGCTGGACCACTAGGGAACTTTTATTTATTTACTGACTTCATTTATACCCCACCTTTCTCCCCAATGGGGACCCAAAGCAGCTTACATCATTGTCCTCTCCACCATTTTCTCCTCACAACAACCCTGTGAGGACGGGTTAAGCTGACAGTGTGTGACTGGCCCAAGGTCACTCAGCTAGTTTCCGCGGCAGAGTGAGGATTTGAACCTGAGTCTCCCAAATCCTGGTTTGACACTGTAGCCCCTACACCATGCTGCACTTCAGTTTTCTGAAAGTTTCCAGGCACCGTGTTCTTCCAGCAAATGCAAACAAGGACAGTCCCGAAATGTGGGGGAGGGGTTGGTATTTTTTTGTACGTGTGTGTGTGCCTGGAAGTCGTGGTTGATTTCTGGCGACCCCTAGTGGGGCTTGGATGTTTCAGAGAGGTGTCTTGCCTGCCTCTGTGTCCTGGCCCTGGCATTCCTTGGAAGTCTCCCATCCAGGGTCGGCCCTGCTTAGCTTCCGAGATCTGACGAGATCGGGCTTGCCTGGGCTATCCAGGCCAGGGCTCAAAATGTAGGCTTTGAGTGGGTCTGGCAAGAGAAAGAAGTTTGCATCGCAGGCTCTGGAAGAACCACCCCCTCTCACACTCTGCTCCGTATCCAACACCCCTTCCAACCTCCTTCCTCCTTTTGCTTCCATAGATGGTGAACAAGGTTGGGGCAGAGGGAGAGGCATTCCCCTGGTTTGTGTGACACTCATCAAATTGGGCATCCTGGCTACAGCACTGGGGGTTTTATTGTGAAATCCTGTGCACACACACCCCACTGAGTTTTCATTTCCTAGGCACAAATGCAAGTGTCACTCACCATGCGAAAGCGGAGCCAGTCCTGGTGGCAATAAGGAAGGGCTCCGTCAAATTCCAGGGGCAGCTTTGCGCTGTCAATGTGCTTGTGGAGGGATTTCATGGAGGTCAGAAGCTCCACCTGAGGAGAAAGGGACATGTGTGTCACAGCCCTGGAAAGAAGACTGGGAGAAAAGAGGAGGCCTGAGACAGCTTGCACTCGCTTGCCCTGAGACAAGGGCTTGCAGGGGGACATGATGACTCGACTGGGGGAATGCAAGGACTACACAGCAGACAAGTTACCTGAACTGTCTATCCTGCCTAAGTTCCCATGATGTGCAAGCAGGAGGCCATGAAGACAAGGAACCGCACGGGGGGGGGGGGGATCTAATCCAGCAATTTCAATGTTCTGTTTGTTCCCACTTAAGGTGGCCCACTTGGTATTCTGTAGTGGCTCCCGTCTTGTGGAACAGGCTCCTGAGGAAGTGATAGGGCACCATCTTGACAAGCTTCTAGCTGTATTCTTCATGAGGGTTTTCAGGAGGTCTCACCCGAGCCCTTCCTGACTCCACACCTCCTATCGACCCTGGAACCCGGCGGAAACCACCTTCCCTCCGTCAGGGATGACCAAGACAAAGAGGGGGCCACCAAGGCTCCCAGGGGGCACCTGGGGAGAAGTCCTGGGGATGCCCACCTTTTGGAACCCGGCGGAAACCACCTTCCCTCCATCAGGGATGACCAAGACAAAGAGGGGGCCGCCAAGGCTCCCAGGGGGCAGCTGGGGAGAAGTCCTGGGGATGCCCACCTTCCGGCGCCAGCCCACAGATGAGCCATTGCGAGGATTCCCCAAGGGCCCCAGGACCCTCCCTTCCTGTCCTGCCCGCGGCTGTTCCACGACCAAAGGAGGCTGTGGGGGTTGGGGAACCCGTTGGCCCCTCCGCAGAGGACCCAACTGTGAGGCAGAAGGGTGGGGCGAGTTCACAGTGGGCCCTGCTGGAGGTGGTTGTAACCCCATGGCTCAGCTGTTTTAAGACTTGGGCGGCGGGGCGGGCCAGGGGGAAGGGAGACAATAAAGAGTGGAAAGGCAGTAACCAGGGAGGATTGTCAGAACCCTATGAGCTGGAAAGCAAGGAGGAAGCTGCGGGCGCCAGCCCTATCCAATCCTGCGCTCCCCAAAAGGGGAAAGGCTACTGAGAGGCGTGCAGTAACCCTCTCAGTCGGTGTATCTGAGGTGACGCCTTGCTCCATTTACCCATCTCCTCAACCTGGAACCTTCCCGCCACCCCAACCCTCGCCAGGCACAGCTATTGTCTGACAAGGGCTTTGAACAGGATTTAAGCAGCAGGCATTTTCTTGGGGGGGGGGGGTAATTAGGGCTTCATTCGATTTCATCTATTTTAAATTTGGGGGATTGGAAACTGCCTTGAGCCACAAGGGAAGGGTGGTGCATAAATATTTCAATAAATTTTTAAACAGAGGTCAGAGATTCACATTAGTTAAAAACAAAAATGAGGCTTTTACAGTCTAAACTTCAACAATTTCTGCAGGGAGGACACCAAGGAAAAAGTGAGGCCAGGATGACAAACAGCAACTGCAAACCAGTGCAGCTACCGTTTACTCTTGGCATTCAGTCAGGGGTGAGGACTAAATCAACAGCGATTGAGGCAAATGCCAGAGACTGACCTTGGCATCTTCCGAAGGCAAGCTCTGAACTCAAGGACAAAGCTGAAACACACCCATAATTAGTATTTATACCTTCCTCTCCCGCACCCAGGGCTGGATCCAGATCTGTGGGCCTGCCTATTAGTTCAGAGGGAAGCTGGCCTGTGCTGAGAGTCAGGCTTTGCTCGTGCTGAGACCCAGATGCAAAGTCAAAGACACGACAAGAGTTCAGGGAGAGCCCTGCACATTCCAGGTTTGGTTGGGAGGAGCCAAGAGAAAGAGAATGTGTGGCAACAGGGAGAAATGCCTCAGTGAGGGAAGGGATGCTAGGAGAAAAACCGACAAGAGGCCAAGGTCTCCTTCAGAGCTTGACCCAGAGAGGACAAAGCAAGGCCTGGCTGCAATAGGATTCCTCATTCTGTGGAAATGTTGCCGTTAGGGATGGCTTTTTCCCTGATCCAGTTCAGGAGGGAGAGAGGCTGCCTTTGCTTTGCCTGCAAGGCTGCCTTTGCTTTGCCTGCCCTATTTACAGACCCCAGAGAGAGTGGAAAGAAAACGGGGACGGGGACAGGGTTTAGGGGCCTGTGGTAACATCCACCAGGCATTCGGCTTCCTTTCCCTCCCTCAGCCTTATTTGTCCTCATGCACAAACCCAACCCCTGCCTACTTACCTCCATGGGGTCAGCATCAGCAGAAGTAAAGGGAGCTGGTGAGAGTGGCTACTCGGCTCCTTCCAGCATCTCTCCAGCTAGGAAATGGCAGCTTGCCCCAAAGGCCTCTTGGGCAGTCTCCTATTTCCTGCTGGGAGGGGCACGGGAGGGAAGGGATTGCTGACTCTTTCACCCTCGCTTTAGAAAAGCTAGCAGGGCTCAAAGGAATATGCTCTCCACCCGTCTATGGAGGCCCCTCTCAGCTAAACGTAGGGGTCACCTCAGAGACCCTGCCCATTGCAGGGGCCTCTAGGGTGATCTCAGTAAGAGCTGATGGGCCAAGCATCTATAGATGGTGTGTGTATGGGGGAGGTCCCCTGCTGGGTCTATGGGCCCTCAGCAGATGTCCAGCCAAACCAACCCCAACACTGGCCCTGGGCAGGAGCATCAGGTGTCATTCATGCCTTACTGCATTGCAGCAGTTGCTTTATGGCAGCTTTGCCACTGGCTGCAACAGACCACTTTCCATTTGAGCCAGTTTGGCTACAATCTTCTGCAGTGCTCTGGAGGGATTCTAGGGCCCAAAATTCTACGTAGATTGAGAGGGGGGATGTTTAGTAAATATTTTATAGTTAAACATAGAAGTGTCTGTTTTGTTGATTTCACAACACAAGAATACTCAGACATACACACCCAGTATAATGTTCCATGCATTCCTTTCTGCCTCTCTATGGTTCACTGCAAGATAATGTGCAGGATCATGCGCAGTTGAGTTAAATCTGTCCAGTTTTTAGGGCTGGGTAGCGAAGGTCTACATGATAGCCGTGCTAATACTTCAAATTCCTGGGGTTTCTCAGGCCCTGATCATGCACGCTGGTGTTGCCAAGAAGCCCCGGGAACCTGCCCTCAGGCCCTCCCTCAGCCCCCCTTGGCACAGCTGAGCAATCTTAAAGCGATCGTGGGCCCTCCCTCATGTCACTGGGTTGTCAGGTGCAACTTTAAAAACCCTGCCCTAGAAGACAAAGTTTCTGTCCGTGATCATCTTCAGCGCTACAGCAGATGGGAGGAAATGACCTGGATATAGACCCAGAAGTAAAGTCCAGGCCAACTGGCTGGAGGCAACCTGGTGCAGCAATGCAGAGCATTCTGCCTCTCTACCTTTCCCATGCCAGGCCAGGCCAGAGTCAGGAGAGGAGAACAAGGCCTTAATCCAGGGGTGTCAAACATAAGGCCCGGGGGCCAGAACCAGCCTGTCCAGGGCTCTTACCCGTCCTGCAAGCAACTGGTATGTATGGAAATATAATGTACTCTCCCTTTTATGGTATCCCTTGGGGGGAAAACTAGTCTTGCATATGATTAAATACAGTTATTGGGGATTTTGTGGGCTCCCAAGTAAATCAATTGCTTTCACTCTTAGGAATCTCCCATCCTTTGGTTCCTTCTGGAAAGGCACACCTGTGGATTTTGCCAGGGAGGACAGCTTGCAGCCTAAGTGAAAAGATGGTTCTGGGGCACACGACTGTTCTGAGGATGCTGGGCTGGCAGGAAATGCACTAAATCCCAATCCCAGCATCCAAGTCCAGTAGCACCTTAAAGAACAAGATTTCCAGAGTATGAGGGTTTAAGCTTTCAAGAATCAAAGCTCCTTATATAAGGTATCTGGTGAAGCCACTGGACTCAGATCTTGCTCTTCTACGACAGACCATTACAGCTCCCCACCTGAAACTACCCCAGTGGCCATTTCACAGGCACAAGGCTGCTGCTAATTCTGATCTGCAGCTCAGAGACCCAAATTCTGCACCCACTGCTCATTTCTATAGTTCTCAGGGCCAAACTATATAGTATGATTTCTAACATGTCACAGCTGGGGTGTGGTTGGGGGGAAAGACAGCTGGGTCCGCGTTCCCCACACTTTCCCTGCAGCCACACCGCAATTGTGATCCGTTAGAAAATCATGACACCTAGTTCAGCATGCTTTGCGGTGAACTTTACATTTTGGGCTTTTGCAGAACTGAGCTGGGTTCAGATTCCCTCTGGGGTTGGGACGACTGGCCAGAAGCCATGGGGGGGAGGAGCAGGCTGCCACCTGTGGAGGCCACCTGTTCCATCGGCTTGTCCAACAGATCCTCAAAAGTGTTTCAAGGTTAAGAACCTGCATAAAGAAGAACACAAGAAACCTAAAGGTCCTTGGACTCCACGTTCTGTGCCAAACATCAGCCAGCTTTTCAACATAAAGACCTGCTGGGGCAAGCAGGCCTAAAGAAGGCACAGTGATTCACGTACAGCCTGCTCAGATGCGGAAGAGGAATGAATGGTTCCAGTACCTGCAGAGAAGCTGGTCTCTCTGTCCGGAAGGTGACGTCTTTCTCAACGAGCAAAAGGACAGTGTGGATGCAGTGAGGGACAGCATCCTGCAAGGGTAAGAGCAGATCTGAGTGCCAGCTGTGGCGCCAGGAAACAGCTTTCACTTACGCACGGCCTGACAGGGGTCACTGGCTGGCCGCTGATGTTCGCAGCAGATTTCCCCCCTCCCCGCTCTGTTGCCCTTCTCACATTTTCAAACAATACAAGCTCTGCTTTCTTTGAAAAGGGGACAGGTGCCTTTGGAGAGTGGCCAGGAGTCTCGAGGCCAGGCACCTTGCGCAGGAGGCAGGTTCCTCCACACCCCAACATTCTTAACAACTTTGTTCAAGAAGAATGCGACTCCTGCCCCAAGCAGTGACAGTCGGGCCAGAGTGAAGAGCCCTGGGGACAAGGGACAGGCAGAATCAAAGAAACCCTGGGCACAGTCTACCTGTCAAGACATAAGGAAGTCTTAATGGTTGCAGCTTTCACTGGAAGAAACCTGGGAACTGTGAATTTCTTCCCATAAGGATTGGAATTGCAGTACTAGCAAAGGGGAAGCTTAAGTCACTCCTTCTGTCTGTCAAGAAGAGGCTGGACGAATATTTGTCAGAGATACTCTAGGCTGGTCCTGCATTGAGCAGGGGGTTGGACTAGATGGTCTGTATGGCCCCTTCCAACTCTGTGATCCTATGATTCTGTCTCTGTCTGTCTGTCTGTCTCTCTCTCTCTCTCTCTCTCTCTCTCTCTCTCTCTCTCTCTCTTTCTCTCTCTCTCTCTCTCTCTCTCTCACACACACACACACACACACACACACACACACACACACACACATCTGGCTTCTTTAAGCCTCAGGAGGGAAAAAGTATAGGCACAATACAGGAATTGTGCTCGCTTCGGCAGCACATATACTAAAAATACAGGAATTGTATTCTGTTATTACTACTGGGGAGGCCAAGGCCAATTTACACATCAAAAAGTGCTTGTGTTCCCCCTCAGGTCCAGGTGACAGACATAGCCTGGGAGTTTGGTGCTCAGAACTTGAGACCCAGACTGGGACTGCAGCATGTGTGGACGCTATTTGTCCCAACCTGAAGCAGCCCAGGGAGGCACCATTTGTCTTCAGTACATGCAAAGACAAACAGGGGTGTCTTCCACACAGTGCCTTGAGAATGGCCCAGTTGAATGCCCTCTCTTTTCTCTGATACTTTCTGAGGAAAACAATGAGATCAGCAGAAGGGCAGTCTTTAAGCCTCAGGAGGGAAAAAGTATAGGCACAATACAGGAATTGTGCTCGCTTCGGCAGCACATATACTAAAAATACAGGAATTGTATACTGTTATTACTACTGGGGAGGCCAAGGCCAATTTACACATCAAAAAGTGCTTGTATTCCCCCTCAGGTCCAGGAAAACAATGAGATCAGCAGAAGGGCAGGCGCTGTGAAAGCCTCCCTCTCCCCTGGTCTCCCTCATGCCAGCACCACCAGGCCGCTGGAGGATAGAGCTGCCCCTGAAGGTCACCCCGGCAACTGGCCATCCACTCCTTCATGCAGATGCATGGACAAATGGGACTGGCCAGGCCTGGAACTCTGCAAGCCAGTGAAAAGAAACTGAGGCAGGCTGGAAAAGCTGGAGAGTGGCCTGAAGGAGAGGGCATGGGTGCCAGTTACTTGGGCTGTCTGAACACAGCCCGACAGGGGAAGCCACTGGCAAAAGGCCTCACCTGCAGTACAGCCAAGGCTTTAAAGAGGGCTGGTACCGGAGAACATCGCCGAGCATCAACCAGAATGGTTAGGCCCAGACTCTGGCACTCAGGCCTGGAAACCAAAAACAATTTGATTAATTATTTTTATTTACTTCCTTTATATACCACAGTTCATCCCAATGAGGACCCCAAGCAGTTTACATCATTTCCCTCTCCATCGTTTTACCCTTACAGCAACCCTGTGAGGTAAGTTAGGCTGAGAGTCTGTGACTGGCCCAAGGTCACCCATCAAGCTTCCATGCCACCAGTGGGGATTCGAACCTGGATCTCCCAGATCCTAGTCCGACACTTTAACCACTACACCATGCTGGCTCTCATTCATCAAAACCCAAGCACGCTGTTCCAGAGAGATCCTCCCGCAGCAACCCCAAAGCAGCAGCGATCAGCAAATCAATCAGCTGGTCCTCTTTTCCTAAGCCTGCCATCTCTCTGCAGCTTCCTCTCTTGGTCTGCTTGACACCCTCACGCTATTGGGAGCAGTACATCCCAGTTCTATCTCCACCTTGCCAACTAAAAACTGGCCCTTCCGATGACTGAAGGGCCACAAGAAGAACCCAGCTTGGCTTATATAGAGAGTTTCCAACTTCAGGTTGGGAAATTCCTAGAGATTTGAGGATGGAACCTGGCGTTTGGGGAGGGGAGGGACCTCAAATGGGTATAATGCTATTATCCACCCTCCCTCCAAAGCAGACGTTTTCTCTAAGGGAACTGATCTCTGTACTCTGGAGATCAGTTGTAATTCTGGAAGACCTCCAGGCCTCACCTGGAGGTTGGCAATCTAATTGTATAGTAGCCCCAACACCTACGGGCAGGTTTAGGGCCTGAAAGGGGCTAGTGCAGGACTGTTGTGGTTCAGTAAAATTCAGCTCAGGTTCTCTCATGCCAGCTCTACACCAAAGTTCCAAATGGCTCAGCTCAGACACTGCATTGAAATCATGGTTTAATTAAACTAACCGGGGTTATCACAACTGTCTGAAGGTGGGCCACTCCTCTAAGATGAGCTAGGTTCTATCAAACTGGGATCTGGAGCTGGTTCATTAACCACAGTTAGTCTTAATGATGGCTGCAAGCAATGTATAAATGCAGAAATCCTGGTTTAATCCTGTTTCAGTCTTGGCCTGTTTTCCAGCTCCCCCCCCGGCTACAAAGAGAATGCAACGAAACCAGTATACTTGCTGAGGCAAATCAGGATATGAGCAATATCCTGCTTTCCAAAGCTAACCATAATTTTTAAAAAGCCATGGTTTCTCATGATATCTGAATTCAATTAAAATCTGCCATGGCTTTTGATGTATTTTGCCCATCATGACAGAGCACCTGCAATGGCCAGGAGGTGGGGGGGGGCAGGTTATGTATGCACGGCCAACAACAGCAACCAATTATTCCTTACGGGTCTCAAACAAAAGCAGTGCAGTGCAAACAATCAAAAACAAACCCAGCCCTGCAGGCATGTGCTGTAAAACCAACAGATGCCCCCACACTGTGTGGCTGCAGCACCTGATGGCTGAACCCCATGGTACATTTTTCTCAGGTATGTCTCTGGGTCAGGTCAATGGAACAGTAGTGGGGGTTACAAACTACCCATGAATACACGGGCCCAATCTGGATCAGAACCACAGATCATGGGAAGAGGCAACATAAATCTTCCCCTTGTCAACACGCTCTGAACCAGAAATGGCCTTTCAAGCAGGGGTCATTTCCTGCAGGAGCGCACAGGAGCGGAGCTCCGGCAGTAAAGAGCCTAGGGGGCGGGCACATGCAACAAGCCTCACCCCCTGCTCCCAGCAGCCCTCAGTCAGAGCAAGAAGCAGCCAGGTCAGTTGCAGAGCCCCCCTCCCTGCCCCCCCCCGGTCCAAAACAGTCCAGTGGCACCTTTAAGACCAAGTTTTATTCAGGCACAAGCTCTCCCTCCTCTGCAAGGACAGATCTGCATGTCCCCCCCCCCAATAGCTAGCAATCCAAAAGAGTCCAGTGGAGCCTGAGTGGTGGGTGTTGCCTTCTGACACACTTCCAGTGATGTCAGTGATGTGGCATATGCAAACAAATTATGCTAATGAGTTATGCTAATGAGCTCCTGCACCTCTTTTTCTACGAAATGACCCCTGCTTTCAAGTAACTACTATTTTCCCTGTTGGGTAAAACAGCCCATCCATACACATTAAGTTTCTTCAGCAGTGAAAACGTTGGCTTCCTGAGGCCATTTGAAGTCAAGAAAATGGTGTGGGGGAGGGAAAGTGTAAGCCTCCTATCCCTGTGTACTGTAGTTGTGATCCAGATCTTTGGGATGCCTGTAACTCCCAGAACACCTCTGTTGATCGGATCCAAGGACATATCTGGGGAAAATGTCTTGTGCAACTGAGCCCTAAATATGGGTCCACATGAATCAATGTGTCAGAGGTTTGGGGGGCGGGGGCGGCAAAAGGGAAAGTCTGTGATGTGTGAATGGGAGCTCATTCACATACGCAAGCCCCCTCTGGATGCTGCAGCCACCAAATGTGGAATGTGCATGTGTGGCTGCCACCTGCCGAGGCCTTATGAACACACTCCCGGAGATGCTGAGAGATCATTCCTCTCTAAATTGCATCATTGCTGCTCACTGTGGATCTGTTGCTCTTCTCTCTCTCTCTCCCCCACACGAAATGGTCCCACAAACCTGAGAGTGCTGCGCAAATACAGGAGGAGGCGTGTCAGCTCACTGGCATTGCAGTGTGGGTTCAGCCAAACTGTATTCCTCATTGTGATTATGATCACAGCGTGCCCGGACTTGTCTCTTGTGCCTGAAAAATAGGGATTTGGTTTTCAAGTAGCTGGATGAGCTAGCTCTCCTTGTGCACAGGTTTCCTCTGGGAAATGCTACCCATGGTCATAAACTGGCAGAAACGCTTGGCAGTAAGCAAATGCCCCATGCCTCCTAACCAACAAACAGCCAACCAGTGGGGTTTTGCCTTGAAGGAGGACATCCCATCCATGCCCCCACTCCATGCCACATCCAAAGCAAAGCCTCTTAACAAACAGAAGAGCAGCTGTGCTGGATCAGACCAGTGTGGTGCATCTGGCCTAGCATCTCATTTCACAGAGTGGCCAACTAGATACCCCTAGAAGGCCTACAAGATAGGCATGGAGGCCAAAGCCTCCCCAGGTATTCAGACGGTTACTGCCTCTGAACATGTAAATTACTTGCCTAATGAAAAAGTGTTTCCTTTTATCTGTCTTGAATCTACTAATCATCAACTTCATCAAGTGCCTGTGAGCTCCAGTGTTATAGATGCTCGATAAATTTCTATCATGTCCAACTAAATTATATTTTTTCCTAAAGGCCCAGACTCAATCCATTTCCCCATAGGGAAGGGGCGCCAACCCTTCAACCATTTGGGTTGTCCCTTTTCTGCACTTTTCTCAGTAACCAGAACTGTCTACAGTATTCCAAATGAGAACACAATATAGGTCCATACAAAGTCTGTATAATACTGGCCATCTTATTTTCAATCTCTTTCCTAGTAAGCCCTAGCATATTCAGAGTCAACATTTCCAGCCAGCTATCCCCCAAGATCTTGTTCTTGGCCACTCAGTACCTGTTCAGACCCTTCGGTGTCTTGAAAAGCCCCAAGTCAGAAGAGGCTCTTGCACGGTCCTCAGAAATAACCTCAGGATAAGTAGGCTTGGGGGGGATCACTTGAGTTTTCTCCTCCTACAACCTGGGCTGGGTGTGCTCCACGTGTCTGTAGGGTTCCCTCCAAAATGTTGCATCTCGTATCTAGTGAACCATCCCCAGAAGCTCATTTTTTTTAAAAGCAACCAACTCTCAAGACTGCAGCCCAAAAACAGAAAACATAGGTGCAGTCTAGAGTTGCCAGGTCTGGGTTGGAAAATACCTGGAGAATTTGGGGGTGGAGCCAGGAGAGGGCGGGGTTTGGGGAGGGGAAGGGCCTCAGCCAGGGGTCTTTTGGGGCTGGAGTGTGCCGGAGCACCGCTTCAGCAGCCCGCATGGTGGTAAACGCTGCCCCCAGCTCTCTGTGCTGAAAGCGCTGCAGCCGGGGGAGGCCTGAGAGCCCCGCCTCCGGGTGCCCCAAGCCCGCGCAGAAGCGCTGCAGTTTGGGGGAGGCCCGGAGAGCCCCGCCCCCAGGTACCCCGAGCCCGCGCAGAAGCGCTGCGGCTCCAGGGACGCCCGGAGAGTCTCGCCCCCGGGTCCCCTGGGCCCACGCAAAAGCGCTGTGGCTCGGGGGACGCCCTGAGAGCCCTGCTGCCGGCTTCCCCAACCCCCGCCGAAGCGGTAAGTAGATGATCCGTGGGGGGTGGGGGTGGCAGGGGCTTGATGGGGGGTGGTTGGAGACCCTTCTCTTCCTTCCTTCCTCTCTTTTCCTTTTCTCTTTTCTCTTTCTTTCCCTCTTTCCTCTCTTTTTATCCCCTTTCCTTTCTTCTTTCCATCTCTTCCTTTCCCTCTTTCCTTCCTTCTTTCCTTCTCTCTACTCTCTCTCTTTCTTTCCCTCTTTCCTCCTTCTGTGGCCCAACTCTAGTGAGAAGGGGTTTAAAGTTTAAACCCCTTCTCTCTTCGCTCCCCCCCCCACAGGCCAGCTGGGGAAGGGAAGGGGGGGCTTTTGAAGATGCCTCCCCCCCTTTTGCTTCCCCTTCTGACAGCACTTCCGGTGATGTCAGGGGGCGTGGCATATGCTAATAGCCTGGTAGCTCATTAGCATGCCATATGCTAATGAGCTCCTGCAGCTCTTTTTCTACAAAAAGACCCCTGGCGCCCTCAGCACAGTACAATGCCATAGAGCCCACCCTTCAAAGCACCCATTTTCTCCAGGGGAGCTGATCTCTGTCAGCTGGAGATCAGTTGTAAAAGCGGTGGATCCCCAGGCCCCACCTGGAGGCTGGCAACCCTAGTGCAGTCTGTTGAAATCCTGGAAGCCAGAGACAGGCTGATCATAGCAATTCTTTGCTCCTCCCTGTGGCTAGTAATTCCCAGCTCTTTCCCCCTACAGGCACCCTGTCCTTAAACCTCTGAACCAACCATCCCTCTTCCTGGAACATTTATATTCTGGTCTGTCCTAAGGCTCAAGTAATGCTGACCTAAGCAGAGTTACACCCTTTTAAGCCCATCGAACTTGACTTAGAAGGGTGTAACTCTGCTGATTCAGATGGCCCAGGCAATCTTAATCTAATCCGATCTTGAAGGCTAAGCAGGGTCGGCCCTGGTTAGTACTCGGATGGGAGACCACCAAAGAAGTCAAGGCAGGCCATGGCAAACCACCTCTGCTTGTCTCTTGCCTTGAAAACCCCACAGGGGAGCCATAAGCCAACTGCAACGTGACAGCACTTTCCATCAACTCTGCTTACAACGGCACCATGAGTGGCTTTTTTAAAAAAGAGATTTTGTATTGAAGAAATAAAACACAGGCATCTGCTCCTTCTGCCACAGGACTGCCCACTCTGTAGATCTTGCTCAGCCTTACCACTCAAGGTCCCTAGGACAGAACCTGGATCTTTCTGCAAAGAACACTCTCCTCTTAACAAGCAAGAGAAATAGAATTTTTGTAAATATTCCACGAATGAATGAACAAATACTGCAAAAAGAAAGACTTGAAAAGCTGGAAGCAGAGAACATTAACCTTAACATAAAAGAACCAAGGCAACCTGCAGCACGATCCTGGACGTTGGGGCTTTCTTTGTGTAGCCGTTGCTCTTTCAGGCACACACACGTCCATGTGGTGGAGTTGCTGTTTTTCAGTATTGCCGCCGGTCATGTGAATGCTGCAACACAGTGTGGTGCACTTTCTAGAGGGTGGGAGTGGGAACTAGGAGACCCAGGTTCAAATCCCCACTCTGCCATGGAAGTTTGCTGGGTGCCCTTGGGCCAGTCCCACAGTCTCAGCCTGACCTGCCTCACAGGGCTGTTGTGAGGATAAAATGGAAGAGCAGAACTATGTAAGCTGCTTTGGGTCCCCACTGGGGCAAAAGGCAGCATAAAAACAAAAAAAAAACCAGACATAATAAAAAATAATCTGTGGCACTAGACATCCCACGCCCTCAGAACTTATAAAATGAGAGCTAGGATCCGGAATGAGGGGAGTCATGTGGGCCATCTCAGGACATGTCAGAGGGGAAGGGGCACCAAATTGCCTCCCTCCAGAGTGGCCTTGCTCTGTTGTATCACGACACAGGTGCTGTGGGGAATCAGCTCTGCTCACTCTGTACTGCTTCTACTGTGCTCCCTAATACTTTGGGATGGAAGCTGCGAGCAGGGAATGAATCCAGTCATGTGAGGATTCTACCCAATGGCCTTTTCTCCTGCTGAACTGCTGAAGGCTCGCATCGTCAGCACTAAAAGCCAAAAAGGGAGCACAGAGAGGTCCTCTCTCTACCATGGTAAAACCACAATTAACTGACCAGCCGGCCAACCACACATCCATTGTATTTTTATCCTGCCAGCCTTTTTATCCTATTTTTATCCTGCTTTGGGGAGAATACTTGCTTCTCCCTTCCCTATTTTACCCTCACAGCTACCCTATGAGGTAAATTAGGCCCAGAGAGGGAACTTAGTGGCTGATTGGGGATTTGAACCTGTGTTTCCCAGATCCTAGTCCCAACAGTCTAAATACCATGCCGTTCCCTACCAAAAACACACAGAACACCATCAAATTGTGTTCACGGGCTCTCTCGCAAAGAAGCACATAAAAAAACCAGCAACGGCTTAAAAGTGACGAAGGATCCCTTTCAGCTGCGTTCCCGACCTGGCAGGCAGGCGACTCCACTCTGCAGCACCTCCAGATTCACATCCTTCACGGTCATGGGGGCCGTTTCCAGATTCCTGCCGGATGGAAAGGATGGGGCCTTCATGGCACCTTCTTCCCAGGTGCAGCTGGGATTCATGGACCCCAGGCCAGTGTTTCCACCTGATCCATTGATTTGTTCTGCCCATTTGAATGAAGTCTCTGCCAAAGGAAAAGAGACAGGGACACACTGTAAAAGCAAGCTCTGACCCACCCACCCCTGTAGGAGCCAGTGAATATGGCATGTAACAAAAAAACCCTATTAAATTTATTTCTGATATATTTAATTAATTTATACCCCACCACTCCCCCCAGTGGGAACACAAGGCAGCTGACATCGTTTTCCTTCCCTCCATTTTTTTCCTTACAGCGACCCTGTGAGGTAGGTTAGGCTGACAACATGCGACTGGCCCAAGGTCAGCCAGTGAGCTCCTATGGCCCAAATGGGGATTCAAACCTGGGTCTCCCAGATACTAGTCTGACACTCTTAACTACTACACCACACTGCCTCTCAAATTTCTTCCATGTCTTTTTAATTGCCTGACCAAAGAGGCAATTTTTTGCATTTCGTCCAAAAATTATACAGGCTCAGGCCTTCAGGAGACTCTAGGAGGATGGGAATTTTACCAATTAAGAAACAGCAACTGAGAACTGGTATAATTCTATAACCAACCCCAACAAGGAAGCTGGAAGTTCTGCACAGCCATCGAGGGCAGCCCAACGTAGGGTGTGGGACAGTAGCTTAGCCTAGAAGTGACGGTTATCAAGACTTGTTTGCAGTGCTCTCACAAGGCAGAACTTCTGAAAGTCACATCTGGCCACTAACTGCACCTGGGCCTCCAGGAAGGCCCTCAAGCCATAAACCAGAAAGACACGGGAAACTATGTGTTAACCACCCCTCCCATGTCACAGTCTATCCATCACCTTTTCCTTCCAAGGCAAGGCCCTCAGGAATTATTTTCCCTTCCTCCATCTTCACAACAGTCTTATGAGCTATGTTGAACCCCAGAGAGCGTTCCTAGACCAAGGTTACTTGGTGGGCTGGCTGTATGATGGAGGGGAAATTTGAACTTCACCCTGTCCTCGTCTGCCACTCTAATAACTGCATCATGCAGGCATCATCCTGCAAACAAATACTTTAAACTACAATCCAAAATCAGATGATGAGAATCACAACCCCAGATTTCATGCTGAGAACTCAATCGTACAAATCTGGACTCCGTTCTGTTTCTCAAGGCTTCAATATCTGCCCCACATTTAGCACTTCCCTCCCCACCTCCACCTCTAGCCTTCCTCTCCACGTGTGTGTCTGCAGAAATATTCTTGCCCCTCAGGAAAGGAGTGCCAAGCTACAATACAAAACACTGCCATTCCAGCTCCAGTTCAGGGCGGAACATATCTGGTGCTAAATGAGGTTTGGGAGGTTCAGGGAATTGCTCCAGGTTCCCTTTGCATGGCTGTCCCAGCTTGTCTCATCAACCTGATTGGCAGCCGTCCATCTGTATGCCATGTGATCATGGCATTGCTAGATCAGCCCAGCCCAGGGGAGAGGGGGCCCCTATCCAGGGCTTGGGCAGGACACCTTTGAAATCGTTCCATGTTTATGGGGAGCTTTGCAGCCACATTTTGCACCCTCCAATGCAGAAGGCTTTTGAGTTCACAGCTGCATGTCAGCCAGGCAGTTTGCAAACTCTCCTGCAAGCTGATTCTCAGTATAAAAGTCTTTCCCTTCAAAAAAAAAGAGAGAGAGAGAAAAGAATGGATACTCATTAAACACGCTACAGAAAAAGTCCTCCGGCAAGGAGGGAAAATAAAATCTTGCCCTCTCTTGTTCATGGGGCCTTCTCCACAAAACCCACACAGATTTTTCTCTCTCTGATTCCGATGTACTGCAGAAGGATGGACTGATTTAAATCAAGGCCAGTGAAAAGACTTGCCTCTCCCTTTTCTCCTTTTTCTATTTCCCAAACAAAGTGCATGCTAACTGGATGTTATAATGGCTAATGCAACTAAATGGAACCTGTATACTATCAAGTGACTGACAAGACTGCCCCCATGGAATATGGCTTGTTGTAAGACATCCCCCCCCCCCCCCCCCCCCCACAAGGGAAAAGCCTCTGCCTTGAAGTGGGTCGTCCCTGGTTATTATTTGTATAATGGAAGACCATCAAGGAAATCCAAGGTCCTGGTGCGAAGGTAGGCAAGGGCAAACCACCTCTGAACATCTCTTGCCTTGAAAATCCCACAGAGTCGCCATAACGGCATAGCTTAACGGCAAAAAGAAAAGACCTGTTTAGATGGCAATACAGCTTTTATGTATTTCACAGTGGGCTACAATTTTATCTAGTTCAACTCTAGGCAGAGTGATACCCTCCTAACCCCACTGCAGTCAGTGGGCTTAGAAGGACATTAACTGGGCTTAGGATGGCACCGTTAAGAATTTATAATTACAGGTATTAAGAATTGCATTTGCTTGTATTGCCATGTACAATCGACGTTTCAGTGGCAAACAAATGATTTTTAAAAGAGAAATTTACCATTAAAAAAAAAACAGCTTCATCCACTAACTGCTTTATTTAGAGGCTTGGGGAGGCCTTTGGACAACTGATGGTAGCCTTCCCCCCCTCCATCAAGAGGGGTGCTCAGGGATCCGTCAATCTACTCACTAAAAAGAGTGCTTTGCTAGTCCTGCATCCTCCTAAGGCTCTTTGCGGGGGCCTGGGATTTCAGGGGACAAGCAGCGGACAGGTTTCCAGCTTACTATGTTTTCCTGACCACTTGCTGTTGGTAGAGAACTGGCAGCCGTGAAACCAGGCAATGGTCCGTGACAGAGAGGATTACTGACAAACGTAGCAGCAAATTGGCTCGAAGACTCTTGGAATGCCTCCCTCCCTAGGCCTTGAAAGTAGCTGGTGGAGAGCAAAGCTATTTTCGAAAAATACAACTACGGTAAATATTTGTGTTTTAAAAATAATCTGTTTTAAATTGAAATCTGAATACGCCTATACATGGAAACACGCTTTTAATACTCGATCCCCTTCCAACCTTCGTCCCATCTCAAGAGATGCTGGCCGTAGGGATAGGAAAATGTACCCTTCTCTGACACTGGTGTTGTGCAATGCCAGGTCTATCAACAATAAGATCTCTGTTCTGCAAAGTTATTTGACAGAACAAGGGGTAGACCTGGCTTGTGTGACTGAAACCTGGGTGAGGGAGGGTGAAACAGTCGCTCTGAACCAACTCCCCCCCCCCCGGGGTTTTCAGTCCTCCACCAGTCTGGGACTGATGGGCAGGGCGTGGCGCTACTCATCTGGGAGGCTTTCTCCTTCAGGCCACTCCCTGAGACAAAGATTGCTGGCATTGAATGAGTGGGTCTCGTGTGGGAGGCCAAGGAGAGTTTGGCAATTTGGCTGGTATACCGACCACCTAACACACTGGCAAATGCCCTGTCGGGCCTGTTGGAGGCCGTATCTGGCTGGGCCTTGGAGCACCCGACTTCTGGTCTTGGGGGACTTCAATGTCCATGCAGATGATGCGGCCTCCTCTCAGGCCATGGACCTGGTGTTGTCCATGGCAGCACTGGGACTCTCCCAGTTTGTATCCACCCCCACACATCAAGCAGGCCACATGCTGGATCTTATCTTTCCATCAGGGATTATGGTAGACGGGATTACTGCTGATGCAGTACCATGGTTGGACCACCTGGCTTTGGAGGCCCACCTGGGTATCCCTAACTCTCCCTGTTTAGGCGGTGAGCGGATTTATGCTTGCCCGCAGAGTCAAATGGATCTAACTAGGTTCCAGGAAGTTCTGCGGGATCTGATTCCCTATGGCAACTCGTTGGATGTGCTGGTGGAAGACTGGCAATTAAGTCTTCCTGAAGCCATCAACGAAGTCGCTCCCCGGCGTCCACTTCACCCCCATACCCCGGAGCTATGGCGGATGAAATGGGAGCTAAAATGGCTTGAGAGAGGGTGGTGTTGAGTTCGTGATAAAGTTACATCTTATAGATCATTTATTAGAACCTATGAGGTGGCAGTGAAGGCCGCAAAGAAGGGTTTCTACATGACCTCCATTGCATCTGCTAGCTCTCGCCCAGCCCAATCATTTAGAATTATTTGGTCACTGACTAACTTGCCACAGGGCATTAAAATTCTAGGGAATTGGCGATAGGCTGTGAGGCATTTGCAAGCTATTTTGCAGACAAAGTCTTGTCACTCCGCCGTGACCTCCCAACCACATTTGATACAATAAAAGAACTGGAAGCCTTCGGGTCCAATTTTGGACCACTTCAGTCTTCTCTTTCAGGACGAAGTTGACAAGAGTCTGGTGGCTGTGAAGCCTACCACATGCCTCCTAGATCCCTTCCCATCATGGCTGGTTAAAGCTTGCGGCGATGAGGTGCGGATCCCCCTGAAGGAAATCATCAACTTGTCCCTTTCAACAGGGACTTTCCTAGGGGAACTGAAGGAGGCGGTGGTATGCCCTCTCTTGAAAAAATCTTCTTTGGACTGGACTACCGCCCAGTATCTAACTTACTGTTTCTAGGTAAGGTAATCGAGAGAGCAGTGGCAACCAATGTTCCCTCTAAGCTGTGGAGTCTCATGAGCAAAAATTCTACTTTGTGAGCTACTGCCATTAAAGTTGTGAGCAAGCCATTTGGCTCCTGCATTAATTAGTTTGCTCTGTAGCCATCCTTCCTGAGCTGAGACAAAAATAAGTGAGCTGGAGGATAAAGATCTGTGAGCTAGCTCACTCTAACTCAGCTTAGAGGGAACACTGGTGGCAACACAGCTCCAGACTTTCTTGGAGGATGCTAAGATCCTGGACCCTTTCCAGTCCGGCTTTCGCCCAGCACATGGGATGGAGACGGTGTTGGTCGCCCTGGTGGATGACCTCCGGAGACACCTGGATCGAGGCGGATTGGCGCTGTTGATACTTCTTGATCTGTCGGCAGCATTCGACATGGTTGACCATGATGTGTTAACCCACTGCCTCGCCAACGCTGGGATACGGGGGCTTGCCTTGCAATGGCTAGCCTCCTTCCTTCAAGGTCAGGGACAGAGGGTGACACTTGGGGGAGAGTTGTCCTGGCGACACCCACTGGAATGTGGGGTGCCACAGGGAGCAATTCTCTCCCCCATGTTATTCAATATCAACAT